GGAAAAAGAACTGCATTTTGTGTATTCTAAACGCTTGTGTTCTAACGATCATGCAAGTACGGTTATTAAAATACAGTTATTAATTACAGTTATTAATTAAATACTTAATTGGACTCTTTATAAAGGTAATTTATTGGTTGGTGTGTGTGTGTGTGTTTTTTTTTGTGACAAAACTTTAAAAAATATTTGGCCAGTATGGGGATCGAACCCACGACATTCGCGTTATTAGCACGACGCTCTATCCAACTGAGCTAACCGGCCTTCCTGTAATATGAAAAACATATTTCTAGAAAAGCATAATTTTTCTCTGACTCGTAGATAACTAGAGCTTGTCTGTGCTAGGATTTAGAGGCGTATCAAATGTGGAAGGAGGCGGGGGAGAGGCTGTAGGTGCCCGTGACCTGCCTCTAGGTGCCTGTGACCTGCCCGTGACCTGCCTGTAGGTTGCTGTGACCTGCCTGTAGGTGCCTGTGACCTGCCCGTGACCTGCCTGTAGGTTGCTGTGACCTGCCTGTAGGTGCCTGTGACCTGCCCGTAGGTTGCTGTGACCTGCCTGTAGGTGCCTGTGACCTGCCCGTGACCTGCCTGTAGGTTACTGTGACCTGCCTGTAGGTGCCTGTGACCTGCCCGTGACCTGCCTGTAGGTTACTGTGACCTGCCTGTAGGTGCCTGTGACCTGCCCGTGACCTGCCTGTAGGTTGCTGTGACCTGCCCGTGACCTGCCTGTAGGTTGCTGTGACCTGCCTGTAGGTGCCTGTGACCTGCCCGTGACCTGCCTGTAGGTGCCTGTGACCTGCCCGTGACCTGCCTGTAGGTTGCTGTGACCTGCCTGTGACCTGCCTGTAGGTTGCTGTGACCTGCCCGTGACCTGCCTGTAGGTTGCTGTGACCTGCCTGTAGGTGCCTGTGACCTGCCCGTGACCTGCCTGTAGGTTGCTGTGACCTGCCTGTAGGTGCATGTGACCTGCCCGTGACCTGCCTGTAGATTGCTGTGACCTGCCTGTGATCTGATTGCGGTCAGAGGCGTAGCGACCCTTCCCGGCGCCCGGGGACAAACTTTTCGATTTGCACCCCCCTCCCCCTCAACCTTTCGATTTGCATCCCCCCCCTCAAGATTTCGATTTGCACCCCCCCTCAAGATTTCGATTTGCACCCCCCCCTCAAGATTTCGATTTGCACCCCCCACCCCCCCTCAAACTTTTGATTTGCACCCCCCCCCCCTCAATTTTTCAATTTATTTTTCCAACCCATTTTGGCGCCCCCTAATGTCAGCGCCCGGGGACATATGTGCCACCCCCGCCCCCCCCCCCCCTCGCTACGCTACTGATTGCGGTGATCAGTTTGCCAGCTATTTGTAAGTTTAGCTGCTGACTTTTCCGTTATGGCTACGGTGTACAATGTTAGCTACTCAAGGTATGATTTTACTATCGTTTATTAAAAAAAATTAAGGTCGGCTAAAAATCGAAGATTGATTAGCTACTGACCCTTCAGTCAGCTCCTCCCCCTCCCATCTTCCGCCTGGGGTCCAGTACCTTAAATCTGTGGCGTAGTGAGGTCGGGTGTCACCCGGAACGGCACTTAATGGTGGCACCCCCCAGTAGCGACCTTTCCCGGGGACAAACTTTCAACTATCGATTTTTGCACCCCCCCCCCCCCTCAAACTTTTGATTTGCACACCCCCCCCCCCCTCAATCTTTCGATTTGCACACCTCCTCCCCCCTAAAACTTATGATTTGCACCCTCCCTCAAATTTTACTCTATATATTTTGGAATTTTTTGCCTTGGTGTCACCCCCCCCCCCCCCCTAAATGGTGTCACCCGGTGCGGTCCGCACCCCCGCCCCCCTCCTCGCTACGCCTCTGCCTTTAATGTCTACGGTATTCCGTCTACCGTCACCTCTCTCAGTAGTCTTTCTCCATGATTAAGATATACTGGTAGACGTTGTTTCTAACTCAACGAGAAAAAGTTGCAAAACTTTTTATCTTACTACAACGTCGAAATATAAGGGCCGGTTAGCTCAGTTGGTTAGAGCGTCGTGCTAATAACGCGAATGTCGTGGGTTCGATCCCCATACTGGCCAGTAGGTTATATTTTTTTCCCCGTCATAATAAGACTATTAAGAGATGCGCCAATTTAAGAGTTTATTTTTTTTTTTAAACAGAAATAATGTAAACATGGCAAATTTAATTTTAGAATTATTTGGTGGAAAATATTGTCAAAAAGTGTAGACCCCTCTTTTCCCCTCCCCCATCGACAAACATCGTCACCCAACGACCCTTCCCTCTCCTAAAATGACGACACATCTCAAACTACACTAGTCCTCAAAACTGTTGTTTCTTTGTTGTTTTTTTAATCGATTTTTTTTCTCTAAAATAATAACTCAGCTGGGTGAACATTGAATGAATTTATCAAATTTCTTTTACATTTACAAACACATTTTTATTGAAATAACATCCTAAATTTAGGCTCTAACATCTATATATATAATTCACTTCTTGGAGACGCTAGAAAACAAGCTGTAAGCGCGCTCCCTACCACCCCACCCTTACATGGTCTGGTGAGCTGTGGTTCACGCTAAATGTTTACAACCGTAGAGCCGGGTTTAGTGACGGCTAATAGGGGCAGATAATTTAGTTTGAAACGATTTTAAACTTAGGGGAGGTAACTAAGAGGTGGCTGCTTTCACGGGGGGGGGGGGGGTTAGGGTAGGGGTTTGGGGAAAGGAGGGTAGGGTAGTATCGTCCTTAACGACCTACTGATAGTGTTTTGAAGCAAATATTTTCAGTGGCAGCATTGGTACTGTCGAATTCACAAATTATGAATTACTGAAAAGTAGAAAATAAAACAACTAAATTGCGGCGTATGATACGCCGCGCGTCGGCTCGTTACATTATAAAATACAAAAGTATGATGTTTCCATCCTTTCTAACCCCTTTTCCCGTTGTCACAAATCGTTACAAAAATTCTAAGCGTTGGAAATTGTTTATGAACAATCACTAACCCACTGAATGCAACAAAGGGAAATCATATTTAGCTCAAAATATTGACCTCCACTACAGGGCTGGTAAGCAGAGTTTCTTCCAGGCATCTCTTCGGGGAGGGGGGGGGGGGGAACAAAATAAACCGTAAGGTCTCATTTTTTTTTTTTTTTTTTTTAGATCTTGGCGTATTTCTAAGCATCCATTTATTCATATTTTTGCAATAGTGCGAGGTAAAATATCTTACAAGGGCCGTCTTACTCCTAGGAAGATTGCAGTGATGGGGGGGGGGGGGGGTTGTGACAGTGTGTGATGGGAGTCTTCAGTGGCGTGGCTAGGTCGGGTGTCACCCCGTGCGGCACCTCATGGTGTTACCCCCCCCCCCCCTCCCAAAACCTTTTTTTTTGTCTCTGTAAATTTTACTGTTGGTTTCACCCTCCCCCCCCCCCCCCCCCGTGTAAAAGCTTTCAAGTGTTCACTTTTAATCTAATGTTAATACTGCTGGGTGTAGCATTGTTTTCTCTAGTGTTGGCAGGTTGTGTTATGGTGTCTCCCACCCCCCCCCCCCCCCTTTGTTGTGATCGTCATTATGTACCTGAAATACTTTTTAACTTTAATTAGCTATTAATTAAACTGGCAAAAAATGTATTTTATATATCTTGCTTTTTTGTCTTGGTGTCACCCGGTGCGCCCCCCCCCCCGCCTCGCTACGCCTCTGGTAGGGTTCAAACATTTTTTATTCTTTTTGGTTTGGTATTATCCTTCTCCTTTACTAGTTTGATATTTAAACTGTATACACTTTTTTTATCAATAAATTTTACAATTTTTCTATTTGGTATCAACAAATATTGGTGTCACCCCCCTAAATGGTGTCGCCCGATGCGCCCCCCCCCCCCCGCCTCGCTACGCCTCTGGTAGGGTTCAAACACTTTTTATTCTTTTTGGGTTGGTATTATCTCTCTCCCTTACTAGTTTGATATTTAAACTGAATACACTTTTTTTATCAGTATATTTTACAATTTTTTCTATTTGATATCAACCCCCCCCCCTCCCCTTCCGCTAAAATGGTGTCGCCCGGTGCGAGTCGCACCCCCGACATATTAACGCTAGTGATGAAACGTTGTTTGCTAATTCAAATGCTGCAACAACTAGACTTACAGGCACGGCTGGGACATGATGTGGTAACAGTGGCGTAGCGAGGTCGGGTGTCACCCGGTGCGGCACTTAATGGTGTCACCCCCCCCCAGAGGCGTTGCGACCCTTCCCGGGGACAAACTTTCAAGTTTTCGATTTGCACCCCCCCCCCTCAAACTTTCGATTTGCACCCCCCCCCCCTCAAACTTTCGATTTGCACCTCCCCCCTCTCAATTTTTCGATTTGCACCCCCCCCCCTCAAACTTTCAATTTGCACCCCCCCCCTTCAAGTTTTTCTCTATATATTTTGCTATTTTTTGCCCTGGTGTCACCCCCCTAAATGGTGTCACCCGGTGCGGTCCGCACCCCCCGCCCCCCCCCCCCCCTCGCTACGCCCCTGTGTGGTAAAACCTATTTTTAGCAGACCTATGTTTAAAATCTTTAAAAAGAAAAACAACAACTTTGAATGTGTGTATTTGTTTAAGTTCAAGGTAGACCTCAATGAATTAAAAATCTTTCACCTTCCTATACTACCCACCATAAACTTTCGTGTCCTACTTTGACTACAATGGGACAATCCCGTGATGTCAGTGCAAATAAATTCAGCCAAACCCGCGCGCGCAACAGCAAATACCCTTTCTCCTTTTACGTTCTTTACGTTTAGTAGACTGATAATAGTTTTAAACGCGTTTTCAACCTGTAATTATCATTCCGAAATTCCTAAGCATTGACTCTCATTGAGAGAAAGACAAAAATATCCGGCTGAAATGGTTTAACACGGTCAATGAAATGTAAACATGTGAAATGAGGACAGGGGTGGTAAGGAAAAGGGGGGTAGGTTGGTGTATGTTTTTAAAAAAACTTGGCGGAAGTATCCTGACTTAGTTAAAATTCAAGATGGCGAGCGGAACATTATAACTGAAGCTGTTGTTGTGATGAAATATTTAGTAGATCTAATACACAGCGGATACTAATAGAACAGATCAGCTTAAATGTATGTATGCAATGGTACTAGTTAATACTGCATTTTGTTTTTTCTGATGCATTTCTTGCACGCGTATTGTCGACTCATTAGATTTGGAGGAGGGCTGGGCTTTTAAAAAAATGAGTGCAGGTTGAGACTGAGACTCACTGAGTCCTGAGGAGAGGTTTCAAGTTGTGTTTTCCGATGTGTTTTTTGGGTGTGTTGACTTGTTGAATGTTGGTTGAAAAATAAAAAAAAACGTAAGGTAATGGTTGTTTGTGTGTAGACTATTGATTGACCTAGAATGTAGTTAGTCTCATATAAATTCAATTTTCTTCAAATTATAAAAAGAATAGCATATAATTGTAGAGCTTTAAAAATGCAATCCAACAGTACCAATTTTATTAATTTAGCATAATCGGTTGATTAAATATAATTTTTTTAGTGTCGCAAATAAAATATATAGAAACGCGACCAAAAACGCAGGTAAAAAGTCAAATTCACTTGTTTTAAAGCTAGTAAGCAAGAAAAGACATGATTCTTTCTTACTAGTGAAATCAGTTTGCTTATACCTACATTTTTTTACACCAAGGTGAAAGTAAATAGTTTATATAAATTTATAAAATGCCATTTATATAATTTATTGTATGTTTTGTGATGAATTTTCAATTGGAAAATACCGCATTTGGAAGCAGAAAGGTAAATAGTAAATTCTACAGAACAGATGTTGTTTGGAATGTCATAGATTATAGATCTAGGCCTATATCAAAATGTTTTTTTAATAAAATTCAATTAGAGTCCACCCATTTCTGATGGGTACCTGATATACATTGGGGAAATTAAAGGTAAAAAGTAAAGGCGGCTGTGAATATCGCTGACCACACGGACAATCACTTCATATGCCGAGGTCAAGAAACATGAACTCTACTTCATCTGCCAAATAGATTGCTTTGTCTACAGAGGAATCTTAATTAATGTTTACAGGGGCCTAATAAAATTGAGTTATGTTTGTAAAAACATTAGGCCTAAGCTTTAAAAACTTATTTTGGTCAATATCGGAAAAAATAAAAATCTTTTCGACTAAATTTGTTTCATTGTTTGTTATTATATCTTGTAGTATTTAGAATTGAAGCTTTCTTTCTTAATTACAAGTTGTATTAATTTCAAACCTTAATGTAATTTCTTTTTAATTCAGTATTAGCCTAAATGTAAGGTAGGCTACAGAATTCAGATATTACCTATGGTTTTGTGATTTTTATATGTTTATAACATTTGTGTTTATGAAATGACCTAATGAAGTTATCAAGCAAACTGTTTTATTATTATTTTAATAGGCCTGCAAGCTATAAGTACAAAATATAGATATCTAATCACTAGATCTAGGTCTAAGTTTAAGAAAAAACTACCAAAAGGGTTTGAAATACTTAAATATAGTACTAAAAGTAGCTATGTTTTGAAAAACAAAAAAAATATCTTAAACTGGAGACATTCAATTTAAAAGTCATTATAAAAACTCCATGATCTAGATTTATTTCTAGATCTCTAGTAGGAATACAGATTTAGAGGCTTTCCCATCAGTATCAATGTACTATCTTAGCTATGTGGGAGGTCAGTACGAGTTCACTGGGAAAAAAATCGGATCTGCCGTAGGGGGGTGGGTTTAGTGCGCAAATACTCCTGACCGATTGCCAAAAGGTACAGAAATTCTAAAGATACATTTTAAAAGAAAAATGGACGGCTGAACTGCAGTTATCAAAATATCTGTGTAAGTAGAAGTATAAATAATAATATTTTACACAAATATAGCTGTCTTTTGCTAAATCTAGCTCAATTTCCAAGAAAATCGCATCCGGTCGCAATAATTTTTATATCAGCTTGTCGGCCATTCAACGATCTATCACGTGTAGCAGACGCCAAACAGATTTACCCGTATGGTATTGCGCGAATGCTATTTTTAGCAACAGTGCCGAGACGCGATCGAAAAAAACGAACTAGAAAGTGGCCATAAAAAAGCGGGTCAGGGGAGGTAATTCAACTCGCGTTATGAGACTAGCTATAGAATGTAAATAAAAATTGGAAATTCTAGATCTAAATAATTTATAGATCTAGATCTAGTAAATTTCTAATTTGTAGGCTACATTCTAGAATTCTAGGCCTAGACTAGAAATCTATTTATATTTTATTTTTTCTCTAACCCAGCTTATTTTTATAGGCCTAAGCCTAGAATCTAGTTAGATCATAGAGTTTAGAAATATAAAACTACAAATTAAAACAATTTAAACTGGGTTGGCTGAGCTATCTAGATCTAGTCTAGACTAGATCTACACATCCCATTCTTAAATTGTGCGGACGATATTTCGAGTCGTCCCTTTGAATCCCGGACAGATCGTCCCCCCCGGCGTGGCCTCAGCCAACCGGCGGGCTCGTTGCATTGAGTTAAATATAAACTCAAAACAATAATATAAACAATCTCCTTTTAGGTCGGTCAGGCCACATACCAGGCACGCACAGTGTTGTGTGTCTTGCCTTAACCAAAATAAACTATCTCCCTTCATTATCATTAGATATATTTCATTAGTTAATTAATTAATTAATTAGCTAATTTATAAAATTATGTATGATGCTATAGCAGTAGGTAAGTTACAGTAAGTATCATTTTTTAAACTATGTATTTGTACTATAAAGAAACAGCTTCGTTGTTTGAATACCACCCCTTCCCCACCCCGTTCGTAGAGACATGCGGTATGTTGTAAGGCGGCGGGTGGGTAGGGTATATACTCATTGAAGAAAAAATCCACCGTGGTGCGTGTTATTGGCCTTGGGCCTTCGGTGATGTTGTTGGCGTTTGCTGTGAGGGGGAGAGGGGGGTGTGTTATATCCGTTTAAAAAAAATCGCAACATGGTATTGGCCTATGATGACGTCGGCGCAAGCGGGGAGGGGGGGGGACACTTTTTTTTTTTAAAACCAAGAACTGGGCGTTTAAAGGCTGTAATGAAAATCAAGGACTGGTATAGCCATGATGTCGAATTTAACGAGTGATGCTTGCTGGGTCTATCATACGATTGCTTGGCGATGGGAATCTCGCCAAGCTCAGTTTATATTTACAGTGAACTATTGGGATGCTGTCATACACAAAGTAACAGCTACCGAATGTAGCACTTAAAACATCGAGTGCATCCCGCTCATTATAAATTTGAAATACAAGTTATGGATTACCCAAAAACTTGAAGGACTATCAGAATATATGCATTGTATTATAACATTAATCATTACGATATAACTAAAATGTGTATCCAAATATTTTTAGGCTAACAGGATCTGCATTTAAATAAACAAGACCTATTAGGCTACTTTTGCATGGTAGCACAACTACATTTTTAGATTTCATAATGAGTAGCCTAGTCGTGCATTAAAGGGCTGTACTCAATAACAATGAAAAAAATGAAATGCCGGCTTCAAACTTCAAGCTATGATTTCCCCGTATTCTTCTACTAGAAATATAGCTCCGTTGTTCTAATGACCTCACCCTCATCCTCTCACCTAGTTCAATTTAAAGTTACACTTTCAACCCCGTTAGGATGCGTGAGCTACTGATGACCTAACTATTGAAAAAAAAAAACTATTCTGGCGTTAAATTGCCCTCCCCTACTCGCAGCACTTTGGGGCCATACACATCAGGAAGGTCTAGGTCGGTGTTGTATCTCGTGCAAATTTACTCACAACACGACTACACACTATGGTTGTATCCAGGACTAAAGGTGCGACACTCGCACAGAGTTGGATTTATTCGTTAGATCATTGTGCTTCAAATTCTGTTTCAATATTGGATTAGATGGATATAATGTCGGAATTCAGTTAGTTTGTTATATTATATTATCTAAATGTCGTGTACCATCAGAAACTAAATTGGTTGACTAGACACATGTGTAGGCTAAAGAATGACCTCTAGATCGAGCCAAAGATGGCTGGTTAAGGTTGACAAACTGTGGTTTTCAAATTTCATGGTGATGCTTTTCTAAAGGATTTTATTTTGTGCTTTCTTTGGGATTATTTTGTGTGATGTGATTATTCAGAAGTAATTTGTAAGTAGAAGCTTTTCACATCCAACCATTTTAACAGTTTGCGATTGATCTGCGGCCGGGCTGATTAATTTACATTTAGCGAAACTACACACTACACGGCGCCCTCAGGCCGTTGTTTCAGCATGCCCTACTAGTCAATTATAGACAAGTTTAGAATCAATACATAGAGCCAACACACCGATTTTTATTTAATAATCTTCAAGAGCCATTCCTCTAGGGTCGTTATTTTCACGAAATTGTCGTTTTCCATTTTGTTGTCAAGAAACTGGTATTTAGTTCACGAGAACGTATGAAAACCACTCATGCGTGACCGAAATCGTCGATTGGGTGCCTTCACGTGGTTTGACACGTGTTGACCTAGGCCATTGTTTACATCCAAAAATCACCCAAAACGGCCTTTTTTCGAAAAATTTGTTTGAAAAAATGGCTAAGTCCAGTTTGAAAAAGTGTCATTTTCGGGCCCATTTTAAAAAACGTAAAAAAATCCGAACTACACGTAGAAAAAAATGGCTTTTTCGGCCCTTTTTAGCTCCAAAAACGCGTCGCGTGACGTCACCGTGACGTCAGCCGCCAACCAAAACGCGGAGAAAGAGCGCGTTTGATTGGTTGGCGGCTGACACTATGAAATCCTCTAAGGACGATTCGAATGGTATACCGAATAATATGTCCTGCTCATAGGCTTATATGCCCTATTTAAATATATATTTTTTTTATAGGCCTACTACTAGCTATTTGAATAATAGTTACATTGAAAGATGTCAGATATGTTGCCAAGTTGATTTTAAATGGTGGTCTACATAAAAACAACAAAGTGATTGATGTTCCTTAATAGCTGTACCTTGCTTAATTCTTATTGATGATTTTATAGAAAAGTACCATTAAATGTTTTAAAATTGTTTTTTTTTCTTCTTAGAATGTCATCCTCTAGTAATGAAGAAGATGGAGGTTCCGAATGGCTGGTCAACCTACTCAATGAGATCCAGCTGGGCCAGTTCTACACTAAGCTGCGGGACGACCTGCAGGTCACAAGGTATTCTGGGTCATGATGCCCTTACTCCAACCATAAGTTATAGGAAATAGTTGTTAAATTTATGGCTACTGTTATTATTTTTTAGTTATCTGCATGTGATGATGGTGTCGTTTTATTAATGTAATGTATTTATTACTAACGTAAGATTTAATTTATACTTATCCACAATACCATATTTAGATTATTGAAATAAATCTTCTTTGTTTTGTTTAGACTGGTCCACTTCGACTATGTTAAAAATGAAGACTTGGAGAAAATCGGTATGGGCAAACCTGCTATTCGTCGGCTACTGGACGCAGTTAAAAAACACAAATCTGTTCGCAAGAAGAGTTTACTGGATAAGGTCAGTATAGTGTGAATAATTAAAAAATTTTCTGAAGTGCTAGTACACTGCCAGACCAGGCAGTGTGAATATATTTTTTAACCTTGTGTTGTAGGTAACATTTTAAATTTTAAAAAATGATAATTTGTAAATTCCAAACTATTTCATTTTTAAAAACTTGTTATCATCCAGTTTAATCCAAACAGCAAAGAAGTAGGAATACTTAAGTTTTAAAAAAAAATTATCTGATGAATGTGAAATCTTTGTTTTAAATTATTCACTCGTACCCCGCCTTTATCTACTAACTCCGAATTGTTTATCCAAATCAGATATTGCCCAGGGGCAGTGAGAAAGGGACACAACCAGGCAACACATCAGAGAATCTGGACATGGCCCTGACCTGTCTGATTGACAAAAAGAATGTATTTGTGTTTGACAAACTGGGCAATGGATCATTTGGTGTTGTCAGGAGGGGCGAGTGGGTGGCACCTTCAGGCAAAAAGGTTTGATTGGTTTTTTTAAGTACATAATTGGCTAAACCAGGGGTCGGCAACCTTTTGATATCAAGATGCGGCTCTCCAGCTCCTTGAACAAATACTAATAATCTTAATAAAAAAATAAAATATTTGAAATAAAAAAAATGTTAGTGGCTCTTTTAAACAGTACAGGGTCCGTTAAATTGAAGGTTTGGGTTAAGGCTTCGGTTAGTTTCTGTAGAGATACTAAGTATTATTCAGTTTGGGTGGCTTAATCAATTATGATTTAATTAAAATGATTTGTGTTAAGTGTATAGTTATATATAGAGAGACCAAATATAAAATGGTATGACTGTCTTAATCATCAGGGTTAGTTTAAAATTCAGGATTGGGTTATGGTTAGTAACAGCAGAGCTGTCAAACATTAAATATGGGTACAACAGCTTAACCTGCAGTTCTGTTTTTCAATACAATGGTTGTTATAAACTTATGAAAAAACAGAAAATGAAATGATCAGCATTAATTCTAAATGTCAGTAGTATTTTTATTATTTCAAAATTAAAATGTATTTTGTTTATTCCAATATTTTAAATATGTATAAAATATGTACCGTCATTATTTAAATGGTGCTTATTTAATTAAATGTTGCTTCCTTGTTGCTAACAGAAGAGCGTAGCTGTAAAGATTCTGAGAGGAGATGCCTTGTCCCAGCCTGGAGCCTTTGAAGATTTTGTCAAGGAGGTCAATGCAATGCACACATTGAAACACAACAACTTGATACATTTGTATGGGGTGGTTCTATCTACTCCATTGATGATGGTGAGCCAAAAAAAGCTTTTGTTTTGTTTGTAAAATATGGGATGGCTTGGTCTGTGGTAGACCACATGATTGCTGACCCAAAAGTCTTTAGTTTGGTTCCCAGTTGTTACTTGGTTCTAATGAGTAAGTTTGATGGTGTGGTCAAATGGTAGAGCATACGACTGCTAACCTGAAAGTCTCTAGTTCAAGTTTGTAATACGTCCCTGAGTACCACAAGCTCTGATAGGTACCTGACAGACATTAGGGAAAGTAAAGGCTGCTGGGCATAGTGCTGACCATACTTTCTCTTCATATGCTGAGGTCACAGAAACAAGTGAACTCTACTTCACTTGCCCCATGGACCGTCAGGTTCGAAAGGGAACTTCACTGCTTTAATGAGTAGGTTTGGGAAATATAAAATTTTTTGGGTTAATCACCATAAACCAATGTAATAGGAATAGATGAATTCAACTTTATCTGTCCTTTGGACCATTAGTTTTAAAAGGGTAACTTTCCTACAATGGGACATGTACATTAGCTTTTTAGACCTTAATTTAATGGGCAGATGAAATAGAGTTCATCTGTTACTGTGAGTGTGACCTCTGCAGGAGATAGTATGGACAGTTTTAGACCCTGCCTCTTTTGTACTCCCTTATGTCAGTCTGTTTCCCATCAGAGCTGGGTGGGCTCAGAGTTGTCCTATTGAACTCATCCAAGAATCCAGATTTTCGACTTCCTTGTTATCAATCACGTTCTCTACCTATCCCATGGTACATATGTTCATGATCTATAATATTTTTTATTCCCAACACAAAACTCCTGTTGTGTTGATCAGTATGAGCTTTATGATACATTTAATACTGGCTTTAAAGGTGTTTTTTCCTATGTTTCAATATTGCTAAATGTTGTCCTCTCAGGTGACAGAACTGGCACCTTTAGGCTCACTGCTAGACAGACTCCGGCAGGCCGACCATCCGCTGCTGATATCCACTTTGTGTGAGTACGCCATCCAGATAGCTGTGGGCATGTCATTCTTGGAGTCAAAGCGGTTCATTCACAGGGACCTGGCCTGCAGGAATGTGCTGCTCAAAACTAACGAGTTGGTGAGTTAAAAGCAATTAATTCCAAACCATAGTTCACACTTATAAAATGAAATGCTGAGTATTGAGCAATTAATTCTGTTCTAAATCATAGTTCACATTTGTAAAATGAGTTGGTGTGTATTTAGCAATTAATTATGTTCCAAACAATAGTTATCACTTAAAAAATGAGTTGGTGAGTTAAAAGAAATGAATTCTAATCCAAACAATAGTTAAAAAATGAGTTGGTGAGTTAAAAAGCAATTAAGTCTGTTCCAAACCATAGTTCACACTTTAAACATGAGTTGGTGCGTATTTAGCAATTAATTCTAATGCAAACAATAGTTAACACTTAAAAAATGAGTTGATGAGTATTCATTAAATTATTTTGTGAAGTTGGGCTAGGAAGTTTTTGTAAGCATTGTTTGCTAACTTCGGACTTAGTCTAGTCAACCAGACCCACTTACAACTAATGAAATTAAACGACATTTAATTAGGTCAATTAGTTTGTATAGCCACAGTTAAGAACATACTTGAATACCCCATTAGGTATAATAAAAGACTGTGTCCTGTATATGGTATGGTGTTGACATTTAGGAACAGAAATCATAGTACAAAGTCTATCTTAGAACTAATTTATAAATTGAGTCCAAAGACTTTTAAGATGAATAGATTTCTTTGTTCAATGTCCCATTTTGAAATCTGAAACTTTAAAAATGTTCTAACACTTGTGTTTCCCCCAGATAAAGATTGGAGATTTTGGTTTAATGAGAGCACTACCAAGCCAGACAGACCACTATGTTATGTCAGAACAAAAGAAAGTGCCATTTGCTTGGTAAGTGCTGGTTGGTTTTTGTTATATTGCCTGTTGGAACATAGATTTTTTTTTTTGAAAATAATTTATTTTCAACTGATGGAAGAATTTGACAGTCCGTATGAGAGTCAATTGAGTGATTCTAAATTAAAAAAAACATAATGACTTACAGCTGTAGGAAATTTTGTGTTATTTTGCACCTTGCCTTGGGAGAAGTTGAGTAGAAGTTACTCAGAGATTTAAAATTTTATTTTGTATAGCTGTACCTTATTTAATACCTATACTTACACATGAAGTTTTAAAAAGTATTGATATATCTATGACTTTCTTTTGATCAAGTTTGAATGCAACATCCTTAATGCAATAATATTTCAGGTGTGCTCCTGAAAGTTTAAAATCTCGCCAGTTTTCTCATGCTTTGGTGTTTGATTATATTTCAGGTGTGCTCCTGAAAGTTTAAAATCTCGCCAGTTTTCTCATGCGTTTGATAATATTTCAGGTGTGCTCCTGAAAGTTTAAAATCTCGCCAGTTTTCTCATGCGTTTGATAATATTTCAGGTGTGCTCCTGAAAGTTTAAAATCTCGCCAGTTTTCTCATGCGTTTGATAATATTTCAGGTGTGCTCCTGAAAGTTTAAAATCTCGCCAGTTTTCTCATGCGTTTGATAATATTTCAGGTGTGCTCCTGAAAGTTTAAAATCTCGCCAGTTTTCCCACGCCACTGATGCCTGGATGTTTGGTGTCACCCTCTGGGAGATGTTCACGTATGGACAGGAGCCGTGGCTAGGGTTCAATGGATCACAGGTGTGTTTCAGTTCATTTGTGTAATTAGTCACTATTCATTAATTTAACTGCCTCATTTTTGTCACATGTCCACAAATAAGTTAGCTACCAACCTCACATATCCACAAATAAGTCAACTACCAACCTCACATCTACAAATAAGTTAACTATCAACTACACATCCACAAATAAGTCAAATACCAACCTCACATGTCCGCAACTTAGTTAACTATCAACCACACATATCCACAAATAAGTTAACTATCAACCACACATATCCACAAATAACTTAACTACCAACCACACATATCCACAAATAAGTTAACTATCAACCACACATATCCACAAATAAGTCAACTACCAACCTCACATATCCACAAATTGGTTAACTACCAACCTCATATATCCACAAATCAGTTATGTAAATGTCCACAAATATTTTAACTATCAAACTTGTTCAATTGTTATACCTTATTACTTCACCATTTCCTATGTGTTTTGATACACTAAAATCCGAAACATAGTTAACAAAATTGTTTTGACAGATTTTACATAAAATTGATGTAGCATTTACTTCTGTCTTGACAGATTTTACATAAAATTGATGTAGCATTTACTTCTGTCTTGACAGATTTTACATAAAATTGATGTAGCATTTACTTCTGTCTTGACAGATTTTACATAAAATTGATGTAGCATTTACTTCTGTCTTGACAGATTTTACATAAAATTGATGTAGCATTTACTTCTGTCTTGACAGATTTTACATAAAATTGATGTAGAGAATGAGCGGCTCACCAAACCCTCTGACTGTCCTAGTGACATCTATCGGCTCATGATGCAATGCTGGGCTCACAAGCCACAAGATAGGCCGTCATTTGTGGCTCTCAAAGACTTTCTATCTGAAGTAGGTCATCTCCAATACATTGCTTCATTGATTGCTTGTTTTTTTTATAACAATTATGAAAAAGAGAAATTTTAAGGAAGTTATTAAAAGTAATTATTTCTGTTTAAAGATTTACATGAAAATTTTAAAATTATTGTTATATATTTTTGTTTTAGGTTTTTTCTTTTTACGTGAAATGTTTATTCTTGTGTGTTTTAACTGAAAAATCTGAAAGCCACCTCTATTTTTGTTTTAGGTTTTACCTGAAAATGTGAAAGCCACCCAAGCATTTAACGAAGACAGCAGGCTAAAAATAGAGGCAGGAGATCTAATTACTGTGATTGAGGGGAGGTAAGCACTTGTTGTCTCATGTCTGCTTGAGAGCTTTTGCTTTTCTTCATGGGATTTCAGTCTGGATGGTTTTGTGTCTTAGTATGTTTCTATGGACTTTAAGAAAAAAGGTTATGTTGTTTCTAGAACCATATTTCTTAATAATACTAATTAATGTCACCACTAATCTTAACCATAAATTCTGATACAACTTAACTACTAACATCCTTACTCTCCAATTTGTTAGAATTTGGTGATTGAAACATTTAGTTTGCTTCTGATTTATCTATTATTGTTTATATATTTTTGTAAAATTATATTCAAGTTACACATTCAAATATTAAAACTTGGATTTTATGTGGGTTTTTTAAAACAATGCTGTTGGAACTGTTGTAAAACTCACCTACGAAAATGAGACTTCATCATGACATTTTTAAACATGAAGGAAAACTGTAATTGGGTTGTTAGTTTTTTTAGAAAGATTTGAATTTAGTGAGTTTTAAAAAAACTGAAAACTTTATTTTCATCATGGTTTTAAATACACAACTTTGAAGACATTTACTAATTTAGTCAGGGTTTTAAAACATAACTAAAGATTGATTTAATCAGGGTTTTTATACATGACTGAAGATGGATCTAGTAAGGGTTTTTATACACAACTTTGAAGACATATTTAGTCAGTGTTTTTAATCATGATTGAAGATGGATTTAATGCAGGTTTTTATAACAACTGAAAGCTCTGAATTGGAGGGGGGGGGGGGGGGTTAGACATGACTGTGAAGGTTGGGATTGAATGGAATCTAGGAATCTTGAGCAAAAATAATTACAATGGCCATTTTTTTTTATAAACCTCTTTACACATTACATTTGTTACATAAAAGATAGGCCTATAGAAAACTTTTTAGAAGCCTTGCTTTAAGGTTAATTTAAAAAGTTTTTGAAAAAAATAAGTTTTAACAGTTAACTTTACCTAACCATAGGAATTTGATACTTTGCCAGTGGTTTGTTTTTTCTTTCAATTTGTTGGATTCACTGACCCTCCTTTTGTATCTTTATTACTTGTAACTTTTTTTTTTGTTTCACCAGTCTGGTAAACAGAACCCATTTTAACAATGTAAGGGGAGGCTAATCTAAAAGATAATTTAATTAGGTTAATGCCTAAAGCATGCACCACTTCAAGTGCCATTCAAAAGCAATTAAAACTTACAGAAGCAGTGATATGATGACTGAAAACTCCAGGAATTCTGCTGTCAATGTCAGAATTTTAAAAAATTTAGTATAATTTTATACTTCATATAAAAATATTAGTCTAGTTAAAAGCACCCGCAAAATAATGTATTCCCGCTATTTTCAGTTTCTATACTGTATTCCCACTAGATTTTATTTTATTTAAATATTTATTTATTTTTTAAAAAAAAAATCTCAAGAAAAACAACACACTAGGTTGAAGTCAACAGGTTTATCTTTCAATGATCTTGGTGCTAGCAGAGGTGTATCCTGTAACTCTAGTAGATAGTACATACTTTAGCTAGGGCATATGGAAATTAGGGAACACTGTTGGGCTTTAGTTCACTTTATCTACAGGAGCAACAAACCATTTGGGAATCTGTATAAACACAAACAGGAGCTATAAACCATTTAGGAATCTCTATCTCTAAACATACAGGAGAAACAAACCATTTGGGAATCTGTATAAACTCAAACATGGGCTATAAACCATTTAGGAATCTCTATCTCTAAACATACAGGAGAAACAAACAATTTGGGAATCTGTATAAACACAAACAGGAGCTATAAACCATTTAGGAATCCCTATATCTTAACATACAGCAGCAACAAACCGTTTGGGAATCTGTATAAACACAAACAGGGATTCTAAGCCATTTAAGAATCTCTATCTATAATCAATCTAGAGCAACAAATCGTTTAAAAATTTCTGTTTGAACTGAATTAATGTTGCACCATTTTTTTTAAAGAACCTGTGTTGAACATCCCATACAGAAAAACACCACTGGTGGTGATTCACACACCACTTGTTTACCAGATCACCTTTGTTAATCACATTTAAGCACCTTTTCCCTCCTGTTTATCTGATATTTGTTTATGTAATTGTACTCTGTGATTACCTCCCTTGTTTGGTAAAATTTGTTGTTTCTGTAGTTTTTAACACATATTCTCTCCTTTGTCTATTAAATTTAGTTTGTTTCTGGAATTTTATGGCAATTTTCTTTTTTTTTTTTAGTACATCACCTTTGTGACTTGTGTCATGAGTCTCATTGCATTTTGAGCTAGAGCTAAAAATTGTGTAATTCTTATTTGCTGCAACAAAATTTGTATCAATAAGTGTTCACCATTTGTGATTGAAGTTTTGAAAAGGACTTGACTTTAAAATGCTTCCATTGTTAAAAGTGGCAACCTATAATGTATACACCTGGTTTAAAAAGGTCAGAGAAGCTAACAATGAAACTGTCATAACTCAGGGTAAACTGGGCCAATCCCTAAACAGTTTTCAGCACGAACATCATGCATGTGGAATGAATGAAAAAATAATTTAGCCATAGGGACTAGTCTACTCAAAGTGTTGTTGAGAGTTATAGTTGGTTTTGGTTTCTGAACTTTATTGTACCTCTCCTCTCCCTTGTTCATGTGTCTTAACAGTCATTCAACAACTGGGAAGAGGGTATTAATCCAATTTCTCATATTCATCATCCAGGGGGCCCATTAAACAATCATATTATCATGTTCATCATCCAGGGGGGGCGGGGGGGGGGGGGGGCTATTAAACAATCCTGTTGTCATTTTCATCATCCAGGGGGCCCATTAAACAATCCTATTATCATGTTCATCATCCAGGGGGGGGCATATTAAACAATCCTGTTGTCATTTTCATCATCCAGGGGGCCCATTAAACAATCTTATTATCATGTTCATCATCCAGGGGGGGGGCATTAAACAAACCTAATTTCTTAAGTTCATCGCATATCTCATATCCAACACACCTGGTGGATCTCATTGTATCCAGATATCCTTACCCTGTGTGTGGGGAGTGTGGGAGGGGGCAGTGTGTAAGTTGATACAGCCCATTAGACCAACTTTACTGCACACCTGGCCTCATGTCGTGGTAAACTGAAGAACAAACATTTCATACACAGAGAAGTCTCATAGTGCTGTGGACAAGTAGTTAGAGCCCATTATTTACTCTCCTTAAAAAAAAACATAGAAATTATAGAAATAGTGTCTTTAAGGTCAAAGTTCACTTTAGAAAGTCCTCTGTAGCACAAGTATTTTGATTAAGATGTAAGAGTAGTTTGAGGTACATCTAAGGGACGGAGTGGTCTAGCAGTAGAGAGTTGGACTGCTAACCCGTAAGTCTTGGGTTCGAAATGCGGGTTCAAGTCAGTAGACTGTCCCTGAGTCCACCCAACTCTGATGGGTACCTAACTCACGTTAGGGAAAGTAAAGGCGGCTGGGCATAGTGCTGACCACATTATCTTTTCATATGCCGAGGTCACAGAAACAAGTGAACTCTACTTCCCTTGCCCTATAGACCGTCAGATTTGAAAAGGGAACTTTACTTTACTTTTCTAAGGGTTGAGCAGTAGAGCCATTGATCTCCTTAAGTCCCGAGTTTGGACCCTGGGCAGATGGGGCTCATAAGCTGAGAACAGCAACCCATTCAGGGGAGAAAACTGCTGTCTGGCCTATTGTTCTGGAGTGGATGAAGGCTGTGAAAACAAATGCAGTTAGAAAAGTACGCTGAAGTCAGTCAGCCGGCTTTATGGCACATAACAAGTTGACATGAAATATCTGTGTTGTGGGGAATTACCCGTCAACATTACAATTAAGATTGAGAAGATAATTGTAAAAAAGCAACTACTCCTAAATCATTCAGATGTTTAGTTTTTTTTTTTTGCTTATTTCAGCTTTTCTCTCAGCATTAGTATTTCAGCTTTACCATCAGTTCTTAATTCAACTTTACTGTTAGGACTATTATTTTAACATTAGCATTTCACGTTTACCAACTTTATCTAAAAAATATTATTTTATTTTTTTTAAGGTCTGACCACTTTTGGTGGAAAGGACAAAACAGACGTACAACAGAAATTGGCACATTTCCTCGAAGTCTAGTGGAAGTTCAACGTAAACTCGCAGGTAATTATTTTTTTACCTGTGCTTAATTAGTAAATAGGACAGTAGCTGGCATTCATTATAATACATAGCAAGAAACAGTTCCATGGAGCTTAGTAAAAAATATATCAGAAACTTGCAAGGTTATTGTCCTGAACTTTTTAGCCTGCTATATGGATAAAAAAATTTTCATGTTGTTATTTGTTTGCCGCTAGTATACTTCATTTAGCCTGGTACAGTATGTAGTAGTAAGGAAGTTTTTTGTCTGTCCCCTTCCCCTCCCCCCCTCTAAACTTCCTTTAGCCTGGTACAGTGTGTGGTAGTAAGAAAGTTTTTTGTCTGCCCCCCCCCCCCCCCCCCCCCCCTCTAAACTTCCTTTAGCCTGGTACAGTGTGTGGTATAAGAAAGTTTTTTGTCTCCCCTCCCCCCCTCTAAACTTCCTTTAGCCTGGTACAGAATATAGCAAAAGTTTTTTTGGTACTAGATGAGTTAACTCACTGACACCACGAAAGTTTGAATAAGCCACACAGAGAATTGACCCAACCATTATTTTTCTCTTCCTTGACATGTCACAACCCTATTGACAACCCCTCAACACACCAGACACACAGAACAATAACTTGACACATCACAACCCTATTGACAACCCCTTAACACCTGGTTGGACCAGACACACAGAACATTAACTTGACACATCACAACCCTATTGACAACCCCTCAACACCTACTGTGGTTGGACCAGACACACAGAACATTAACTTGACACATCACAACCCTATTGACAACCCCTCAACACCTACTGTGGTTGTACCAGTCACAGAACATTAACTTGACACAGCACAACCCTATTGACAACCCCTCAACACCTACTGTGGTTGTACCAGTCACAGAACATTAACTTGACACATCACAACCCTATTGACAACCCCTCAACACCTGGTTGGACCAGTCACAGAACATTAACTTGACACATCACAACCCTATTGACAACCCCTCAACACCTACTGTGGTTGTACCAGCCACAGAACATTAACTTGACACATCACAACCCTATTGACAACCCCTCAACACCTACTGTGGTTGTACCAGCCACAGAACATTAACTTGACACATCACAACCCTATTGACAACCCCTCAACACCTGGTTGGACCAGTCACAGAACATTAACTTGACACATCACAACCCTATTGACAACCCCTCAACACCTACTGTGGTTGTACCAGTCACAGAACATTAACTTGACACATCACAACCCTATTGACAACCCCTCAACACCTGGTTGGACCAGACACACAGAACATTAACTTGAAACATCACAACCCTATTGACAACCCCTCAACACCTGGTTGGACCAGACACACAGAACATTAACTTGACACATCACAACCCTATTGACAACCCCTCAACATCTGGTTGGACCAGACACACAAAACATTAACTTGACACATCACAACCCTATTGACAACCCCTCAACACCTACTGTGGTTGTACCAGTCACAGAACATTAACTTGACACATCACAACCCTATTGACAACCCCTCAACACCTGGTTGTACCAGTCACAAAACATTAACTTGAAACATCACAACCCTATTGACAACCCCTCAACACCTGGTTGGACCAGACACACAGAACATTAACTTGACACATCACAACCCTATTGACAACCCCTCAACACCTGGTTGGACCAGACACACAGAACATTAACTTGACACATCACAACCCTATTGACAACCCCTCAACACCTGGTTGGACCAGACACACAGAACATTAACTTGACACATCACAACCCTATTGACAACCCCTCAACACCTGGTTGTACCAGTCACAAAACATTAACTTGACACATCACAACCCTATTGACAACCCCTCAACACCTGGTTGGACCAGACACACAGAACATTAACTTGACACATCACAACCCTATTGACAACCCCTCAACACCTACATCACACAACATGATTATCATCAAAGGACTGCTTGGCTCTCTGTGACAACCAACACCTGTTGGTAGACACTTCCTGGACAGATAAATATTCACTTGCAGAGGCTAAAATAATTCACTTTTAACGGTCTAAAAATTAGATTAGTGTCATCTGAAACAGGAATAGGTGACATTTGAGACATGTATAGGTGACATTTGAGATATGTATAGGTAACATTTGAGACATGTATAGGTAACATTTGAGACATAAATGGGTGACATTTGAGACATAAATGGCTGGCATTTGAGACAAAATATGTGACATTTGACACACAAACTGATGAGATTTGAGTAAGGCATGAATGAGTGGCATTTGAGACATGACTGGGTGACACTAGAAACTTGAAAGTGTGACATCATTGCCATTAGAGACAACAATACTTATAAATAGCTCCTTCTGACCCAGTTTTCACACACACAAACATAGAGAGTGAGTAAAAGACAACATTTAACATTGTTTTAACACCAACTGATTAATTTGATAACATCTTGACCACACCAGCATTTTAATGTTTGCATTAAATTCAAATGAATTAGAATCTAATCTAATTTAACTCTGTATATATGAGCCACCAAAGAAAAACAACTTAAGAACATTATTATTCTTTGATAAAATTTAAAGTTTATGTCTTGTTAAGTGCATCCTACCTGTTTTATACAATAATATGTTTAGCCCTTATGTTTACAGTAAGGCTTTTATTCCTTATGCTCAATAAAACATATTGTAAGCTTCCTTTAATACTCTCCGCTCCCTACCTTCCTTTTGTTATTTGTTTTTTTTTTTTTTTTTTTTTGCCCCACCTTTTAAATGTTTTTTGATTGAAGCCTCTGTTTGTGTGGGAGGAATGTTATTCCTTTCCGTCTGAACGCTGTTCACTTGAGGCTGAATAGAAGTGTCTAAGTATGTTGTAGTTCAGTGGCTTTTGTAGATTGTGCCACAACAGGGGACCTAACCCCAGCACTCAATAACATAAGCTTAACCCCAGCACTCCCACCAGGGGCCCTAACCACAACACTCCCACCAGGGGCCCTAACCACAACACTCCCACCAGGGGCCCTAACCACAACACTCCCACCAGGGGCCCTAACCACAACACTCCCACCAGGGGCCCTAACCACAACACTCCCACCAGGGGCCCTAACCCCAGCACTCCCAACAGGGGCCATAACCCCAGCACTCCCAACAGGGACTTAACCCCAGCACTCCCAACAAGGGCCATAACCCCAGCACTCCCAACAGGGGCCATAACCCCAGCACTCCCAACAGGGGCCATAACCCCAGCACTCCCAACAGGGGCCATAACCCTAGCACTCCCAACAAGGGCCATAACCCCAGCACTCCCAACAGGGGCCATAACCCCAGCACTCCCAACAGGGGCCATAACCCTAGCACTCCCAACAGGGGCCATAACCCTAGCACTCCCAACAGGGGCCATAACCCTAGCACTCCCAACAGGGGCCATAACCCTAGCACTCCCAACAGGGGCCATAACCCCAGCACTCCCAACATAGACTTAACCCCAGCACTCCCAACAGGGGCCATAACCCTAGCACTCCCAACAGGGGCATAACCCCAGCACTCCCAACAGGGGCATAACCCCAGCTCTCTCACCAGGGGCCATAACCCTAGCACTCCCAACAGGGGCATAACCCCACACTCCCACCAGGGGCCCTAACCACAACACTCCCACCATGTAAACATAACCCTATGATTTGAGGACGGTTCTCTGTGATTTGAGGATGGTTCCCTGTTATTTGATGGTGGTTCCCTGTGATTGTTAGATGGTTCCTGTGATTTAAGGACTGTTCCCTGTGATTTGTGGATGGTTCCCTGTGATTTGAGGATGGTTCCCTGTGATTTGTGGATGGTTCCTGTGATTTAAGGACTGTTCCCTGTGATTTGAGGATGGTTCCCTGTGATTTGAGGACAGTTCCCTGTGATTTGAGGACAGTTCCCTTTGTCTTTTAGCCATGAATGGGGTCCCCTTCAGGTATAAATGAGGTACCTGCTAGCCATGAGTTTGGTTACCATTTAATCATAAATGGGGGTAACCTTGAATTGGACTAATCTCTATCCATTAACCTCTGACCTTCATCAATTAACCTCTGACCTGTAAGCATTAACCTTTGACATGAAGCCATTAACCTCTGACCAGTATCCATTAACCTCTGACCTGTAAGCATTAACCTCTGACCTGTAAGCATTAACCTTTGACCTGTAGCCATTAACCTCTGACCAGTATCCATTAACCTCTGACCTGTAAGCATTAACCTTTGACCTGTAGCCATTAACCTCTGACCAGTATCCATTAACCTCTGACCTGTAAGCATTAACCTCTGACCATTATCCATTAACCTATAACCTGTATCCATTAACCTCTGACCTGTAAGCATTAACCTCTAACCTGTACCCATGAAAGGGTAGACATCCAATACCATAAAGCCCAAACAGGGATGGTTAAGTGAAAGAAATGTGTGCCACTTGTCCCCTAACTAACACCCCTGCTATTCAGTGGGGCCAGACACCTACATTAGGGAAAGGGAGGGAGTGTCCCATTTCACAGATGGCTTACACAAATCATATTACGTTTCACTGGGTGATGCATAGCAAGTTATTAGCCTGAAACCAGCCCCAGCAATACACAACAATGAAATGGATTCATGGCCTTCTCTAGGTATTCTATGTAGGGGGTTAGGTGAACAGAGGTTTCAGAAGGGAAAGAGAAATTGATATATAATTGTATTTTTTTTAACCTTACAAAGCTGTTATTGTGCTTAGAGTATATGGTGGTGTAGTCGTAGTACTCTGAACAGCTGATAATGGATTAATTTGCGGGGCTTGAATGGAGCGCCTCAGCCGGCCTAGCCTAGTTTGTAAGAGCATTATTTATTATACATGGAGTTGAATTTCTAGAACAGGCCTATGGGAACAAAAATCAATAGCTGGATTTCTGTACTCACCTTAGAGAGGACACTTGTGTTTGTAGCTGTGTGCCTGGGCTGTTGACATGGGCAGTGGTTAGATCAGCTGTGGGGGCAGTGCTGATAGGTTGGACTGGATTGTTCAGATGTGCTTGCTGTTCACTGCTAGATACTACAGGATACTGGTGTTTATTTCTTAACTACTGTACATGGAGTATGTTTAGAACTGTGATAGAGAGTCTAACCTATTTAATCAAGAGGACATTGTGAAAGGTGTGTTCTGATTTGTACCAAAAGGGTAATAGGTGTGGTGTTTAGGAGGAATAAGGTGTACTTAGGGTAACAATGTTTATGTAGACGTGCTGGAGTCACCAGTGGATTCAGGGTGATACTGTTGTATATACCAGAGCTTAATTGTGTCACCAATATAGTCAGGGTGACAGTGTTTTATGTAGAAGTGCTTAAGTCACCAGTGGATTCAGGTTGATACTGTTGTATGTACCAGAGCTTGATTGTGTTACCAATATAGTCAGGGTAACAGCATTTTATGTACAACAGCTTGTGTCACCAGTATACTTAGGGTGATACTGTTCTATGTACTACAGCTTGATTGTCACCAATTGATACACAAGTTCCTAGTGTAGTCTTGGGTTTGTTTCTCTAAGTTGCCATTTTTCAATTGTAATGCACTACTTTGTAACAAGCTACCCAGTACAATTTGTTCTGCAGTCTTCAATCTTTGTTAGAATGCATTAAAGTTATTTTTAGACATGTTTGTTTATTTTTTATTTTCAATTCAGTGTAAGCTTGAATATGTAGAGTTATTGCAAAAATAACCCTAAACAAAGGATATTGTTTTACACTTATTAAATCATTTTAACTTTCTATTTTCTATCTTGCCACTGACTGAGTTACAAAGTACCAACGTGTAGCCTACCTCACCACTATTGTAGTTATCTCACCACTTTGTTACTTAGTATGGAAAAGCAAGGTTAAGTGGTAGAGCACAATACTACTAACCTGAGAGTTTTGAGTTGAAGAGTTTTAGTTGTATCACTATCAGTAACATAGCAGTGAGTTGTACCTCACCACTATTGGATTATGCATGCTTATATGACCTAAAGGGGGTAAAGTGTTGGTATGTAGGCCTATGGGGGACAGTCCAAAATAGTGTATAAGATGATCAGATGGTGGTTTGTAGAAATTTAAAGCACTCTTTAAGATCTGGTGGTAAATAGGGCAGGTGAAGTAGAGTCCACCTGATTCTGTTACTTAGGCCCATGAAGGAATAATGTGGTCATTTCTATGCTAAGCCGCCTTTACTTTCCTTAACCTGGTTCAGGTACCCATCCGAGCTGGGTGGACTCAAAGACATTGGCAATCTTGCTTTCTGCCTTCTGGCCACGCAGTCACTTTGTCATTCTGTAGTCATTCTCTCCGGTAATAAAGCTAAGCTGTGTCTAGTTCTATCAATTTCTCCCCAGTAATAAAGTTAAGCTGTGTCTAGTTCTATCAATTTCTCCCCAGTAATAAAGTTAAGCTGTGTCTAGTTCTATCAATTTCTCTCCAGTAATAAAGCTGTGTCTAGTTCTATCAATTTCTCTCCAGTAATAAAGCTAAGCTTTGTCTAGTTCTATCAATTTCTCTCCAGTAATAAAGCAAATGGTCTCCCATTGATTAAAACGATCATAACGGCTCAGCTGATTTTTTTTCCACCTTCCTGAGTTAAAAAGATGCATTGGTTATTGATTTTGTTGAACTGGTTGCTGCAGGTCTATTGGTAATCAGTAGTTGAATGGCTAGCAAAGAGGGTGCGACTACCCAGACTGCTTAGGAGTTCAAATCTAAAATTGTATTCATTCATTACCAGTATACATTTTAATCAGGTTAGATTATTGTTCAGTCTGTTGTATTTAGTTTTTAAAAGATGAAGTTTTTGTCATGTATTTTAGCAATGTGTTCTTTTGTTTACATTGCTAATTAGCACGGAAAGCTTTTTTTTTTAGTTTCAAATAATGTTTCTGTTGTTTTTTTTTGTTGATTAATTAAAATGCTACTTTCGTGTTAGCATCATTCTTTACCCTCGGAAATGCTAGACATTCCTGTGCTTGCATTGATTAATGTGTTGCATGCAGTTTTATGTGGCTGTTTGTGCTCATTAAATATCTGTAATTAAACACAGCATGCAGCCATGCCTCTCAGCCCAGCAGCTGTGTCAGGATTTACCAGCTGTGTACCACACTATGTCTGGAATTTTTAAAATTTGGCTGGAATATTTGGATGTTTACGTCATATTTTGGATGTATTTCTTGGATATATTGACATATTTGTCAGATTATGGATGTATTCCACTGATATTTTGACGTATTTGTCAGATTATGGATGTATTCCACTGATATTTTGACGTATTTGTCAGATTATGGATGTATTCCACTGATATTTTGACGTATTGATCAGATAGATGTTTTTCATAGCTATTTGGGTTTATTGTGCAGATATTTGTTCGATATTTTGGATTTATTTTAAGTTTAAAGTGTACCAATGTGAATGGTCTTTTTACTATCGCTATCTCTATAAAAATTGGTTTAGATATTAAGAAATATTATTTGGATATTAGCCTAGCTTTCTATGTTATTTAGCATGGTACTTATTTCCATAAACATTTTAATATGTTTAGACAATAGTATTCAAATTCAAATAACAGTTTTATATTGTGTGATACTTTCAAACAGAAAATTACACTATAAATTACAATTTTTGTTATTAATTTTGTATACATTTTTTATACTGTACATCTCTCTCTCTTACATAATAGCTTCAGGCAACAGTCTCTTTAAGTAATAAAATCTGTTATAGTATTCTTTTATCTTGCCTCAGATATCCGCGTCCCATTGAATAAATATCTATTATTTTAATCTTTCATCTAGATATCAGTGTCTCGTTGAATAATTGTCTATTGTATTTCGTCATTTAGCCACAGTTATAATCATCCCATAAAATAAATGTCTATTGTATTCTCTCATCTAGCCTCAGATATCAGTGTCCCATGTAATAAATGTCTATTGTATTCTCTCATCTAGCCTCAGATATCAGTGTCCCATGTAATAAATGTCTATTGTATTCTCTCATCTAGCCTCAGATATCAGTGTCCCATGTAATAAATGTCTATTGTATTCTCTCATCTAGCCTCAGATATCAGTGTCCCATGTAATAAATGTCTATTGTATTCTCTCATCTAGCCTCAGATATCAGTGTCCCATGTAATAAATGTCTATTGTATTCTCTCATCTAGCCTCAGATATCAGTGTCCCATGTAATAAATGTCTATTGTATTCTCTCATCTAGCCTCAGATATCAGTGTCCCATGTAATAAATGTCTATTGTATTCTCTCATCTAGCCTCAGATATCAGTGTCCCATGTAATAAATGTCTATTGTATTCTCTCATCTAGCCTCAGATATCAGTGTCCCATGTAATAAATGTCTATTGTATTCTCTCATCTAGCCTCAGATATCAGTGTCCCATGTAATAAATGTCTATTGTATTCTCTCATCTAGCCTCAGATATCAGTGTCCCATGTAATAAATGTCTATTGTATTCTCTCATCTAGCCTCAGATATCAGTGTCCCATGTAATAAATGTCTATTGTATTCTCTCATCTAGCCTCAGATATCAGTGTCCCATGTAATAAATGTCTATTGTATTCTCTCATCTAGCCTCAGATATCAGTGTCCCATGTAATAAATGTCTATTGTATTCTCTCATCTAGCCTCAGATATCAGTGTCCCATGTAATAAATGTCTATTGTATTCTCTCATCTAGCCTCAGATATCAGTGTCCCATGTAATAAATGTCTATTGTATTCTCTCATCTAGCCTCAGATATCAGTGTCCCATGTAATAAATGTCTATTGTATTCTCTCATCTAGCCTCAGATATCAGTGTCCCATGTAATAAATGTCTATTGTATTCTCTCATCTAGCCTCAGATATCAGTGTCCCATGTAATAAATGTCTATTGTATTCTCTCATCTAGCCTCAGATATCAGTGTCCCATGTAATAAATGTCTATTGTATTCTCTCATCTAGCCTCAGATATCAGTGTCCCATGTAATAAATGTCTATTGTATTCTCTCATCTAGCCTCAGATATCATCCCATAAAATAAATGTCTATTGTATTCTCTCATCTAGCCTCAGATATCAGTGTCCCATGTAATAAATGTCTATTGTATTCTCTCATCTAGCCTCAGATATCAGTGTCCCATTGAAGAACAGTTTCATCCACACAGGCCATGGAGATATTGCTGGTAAAAACTGGGGCGACCCAGGAGAAATTGATGAGTGAGTAGAGTAGAGCCTAGAGTTTTTTAAACAGTTTTTTAGCATTGTAGTTATAGAAAATATATGCACCTTTTGATTATTTAATGTCACATGTATGTTTTAAAAATTAGATGATTTAATGTCATATGTATGGTTTGACAAGGTAGATAAATTAATGTCATCAAAATATATAACTTGCCATATGTATGGTTTGACAAATAAATAGTTAATTTAATAGATAATGTCCTGTATGTTTGGCAAAATAGATAATTTATTGTCCTGTATGTTTGACAAAATAATGTCCTGTATGTTTGACAAAATAGATAATGTCCTGTATGTTTGACAAAATAGATAATTTATTGTCCTGTATGTTTGACAAAATAGATAATGTCCTGTATGTTTGACAAAATAGATAATGTCCTGTATGTTTGACAAAATAGATAATTTATTGTCATGTATGTTTGACAAAATAGATAATTTATTGTCCTGTATGTTTGACAAAATAGATAATTTATTGTCCTTTATGTTTGACAAAATAGATAATTTATTGTCCTGTATGTTTGACAAAATAGATAATGTCCTGTATGTTTGACAAAATAGATAATCTCCTGTATGTTTGACAAAATAGATATTGTCTTGTATGTTTGATAAAATAGATAATGTCCTGTATGTTTAACAAAATAGATAATGTCCTGTATGTTTGACACAATAGATGTCCTGTATGTTTGACACAATAGATGTCCTGTATGTTTGACACAATAGATGTCCTGTATGTTTGACACAATAGATGTCCTGTATGTTTGACAAAATAATGTCCTGTATGTTTGACACAATAGATGTCCTGTATGTTTGACAAAATAATGTCCTGTATGTTTAACAAAATAGATAATGTCCTGTATTTTTGACAGAGTGTATCTCAGGAATCCCATGGACCCACCAGACCTATTTGAGGAAGACAAAGGATTAGCCAGCCAGTTAAAAACAAAAAGTGAGAAATTTTTCTCTTTATATTTTTTTTTAATTTGAATTATTGAATTATTTTTGTGTGTTAAGATTATACATTATTCAGGAACTGAAAACCAGTTTACAACGTGAAAAGTAAATTAGTGAGTGGGTAGTGATGGCAGTTTTTAAATTAACAATCAAACTGGAGATGGTGGATAATTCTTACAGATTTAAGCTAAGAACCAATCAGAAAGCTAGGGTTAGCACTTAAAAATTATTCTCAAACCTGAGTATCTCATTAGCAGTAACATAAACCATCTATTCAATAACATAAACCATCTATGCAATAACGTTTAGCATCAATGCAATAACGGAAGCCATCAATGCTTTGCCATCTTGTTAATTTATTAGCACATACAGCCTTTTACATATACTTTGCTGGTTCAATACCCTTATGATCAATTATTAGCCCATTTATTTCTAATTCTCTACATATTATTATTAAATTTTTCCAAACAAAAATGTTTTTTTTTATTTCTCTAAAAATTTGCTAGACCTTCAAGGCACAAATACATTGGCCTAGGGGAGATAATCGTAAAACCTGAGGGAAATTTATAAAATAACAGGGGAGAGCGCTGAAATTAGTTTAGGATGTAAGGGTTGGTGTCTGAATAGTAGATGGGTGTAGACTATTGTGATAAAATCACTAGGATTGTTTATCTGTTTAAGTTCATTCAGGAAGTCACCAGTTTAACTACAGCAAGCTCAAAAGTTTCTCCGACCCCAAACGATCCAACTCTGACCCTGGACGACAGCGCCAGGCTCCAGCCAACTCCAGCCAAAAGAAGCAACCACCAAAACGGCCCTCAGTCCTCCCCACAGTCCAAGACAAACCAAATCTCAGGTCAGTTTTGATTCATTCATTACTTGGTTGTTGTTTTTTTTTCCAAGTCCCATATGTTAAGTGCAGCACAGGAAAGTCAATTAGACTGAATTTATGTCCTTTTGAAGGAATTTTGTGGCCAGTCCAGTATTAAAATGTCTATGCTTCCTATTTCATAATTCTAATCCATGTAAATTATCTGCATAAGACATAAGAATTTTTTTTAAAAACAAATACACCGGTGAATATTTTATTTTTGGAGTGTTTTCATTCAGTTGTCTTCCCTGTTTCAGCGTGGACACAACTCCAGTATCCAAACGTGAAGATCTCCTCATCGACCTGACCACATCTCCCAAGGAAACCAAAGAAAACGGCGACAAATCTCACCGCTCTTCCCTCAACATATTTGATTCACTCTGTTCCTCCAACGACACATTGTACGGGAACGTTGAACTTCCTAAACCGCTGTTCAGCAGCGTCGACCCCGACCCATTTGCCGTTGACCCGCGTATTCTCTTGTTAGCCAACAACAACACAATCAAGTGGAATTCTGCGGAGGACGGCGGTGTGGGATTTAAGTCCAACTCTGATAGTGGCGTGGGCTTTAATTCAAACTCCAACATCTTTAACTCCCCAGCCGTCATAAGAAAGCCATCGCTACCTTCGTCATCTTCATCGCAGAAACAGATTTACAGATCCTCAGTTCCCAACAGCGCTAGTCACAGTCTAGAATCCTCCCCCTCTCTTCTACCGAAACACACACCAGGGCTGTCCTTCCTGGGCGGAGGAGACGGACTCAGCAATACCCCGGCCAACTGCGGGGGGTTACTTTACTGCGAACCACCTGTGGACGACGTGCAATACAAGCCACCACCACATCTTTCTATAGGCGGTTCTGCCAATGCTTATGCCAACCAAGGGACTAAATTCTCCCCCTCCCACCTGCAGAACTCCAGTGTTCTAGAACAGAACCATACTGCTGCAGGTTTGAACCCAAGCTTTAAAGAACACCTGCAGAACGTTGTGTTTGCAGGCGCAGTGAACACGCGCTGCAAATCTGTAAATTTACCGCCGCAGACGGCGCCACTTATACCCTCGGAAACAAAATCTGCCCCATCGCCATCACAAAACCCATTCCACACCCACAGCGTTTTGAAACCCTCAGTCAAGTCCACCCCGATAAGCTCGAACTCACAAGACATCGACAAAATTAAAACAGAAAAAGCGTTTGATTGGCTGAATGAGGCCCTGAAATCTAACCTGACTATCCAGTCCCAGCGGATAATGAATAAAGATTTTCAAATTGTCTCATCCGATATGAGCCAGAAAGATCAAAACCCAATCTCCCAAATACAGAAACTTCCACTGTACGACTCCGTCCCTGACGAGTCTGACAGCTCTGCAGAGTTCTCGTCAGCTGTCAAAGAAGAGAAGAGGCACACTGGGACTATCTTTGGTGCTGGTAGCCAGTACTCTAACGTGAGTACCACACAAGACATGTACACCACCAAGATGTCCGCCTTCGCCTCCAGCAACGGTGGCCAGGTGTACATGGACGGGGACAACAACTACGCCTGCAGCTCCAACTTCAGCGACACCACATGGGACGACGAGTTTGATGACGACTTTGACGACACCTCTCTCAAAGACCTTGACATTGAGGACGCCAACTCCAGCAAACCCCCTCCCCTCCCACCCAGGACTTACCCCACCGCTGCTTCCATCACCAGGGACAAAACCTTCTCGGAAAAACCGTACATACTTCCCCTTAAACAAGATGGACAGCAGCTCAGCCACACCCACTATTTCTTAATCCCCTCCATAAACTCACAAGATTCTTCTCTACACCGGCGAGAAAAATCACCACCACAGAAATCAACTGTCGCAGTTAGGCCGTTTTTAGTGAATTCCGCTTTCGATAACAGCGACGAGAGAAGCAACACCCGCGACTATCAGAACATCACGGGGCTGATGAGCCGAGACGTCATACAGCGGTCCATGTCTAACATGTCGACGTCATCCTCCTCCAAGTCAAGCTGCAGCGGGTCTGTTGAGACATCTCCGCGACGCCAGCTACACCAGTCCCACTCGTCCGGCAAATGGTCCCCGTCCAAACCCCGCCCCATACAAACCCACAGAAAAACCGACGAGGGTCAGTTCATGGGTTCCTCCCCGCGGGACCGCATCGCAGTGGTGCAGAGTAAAGTGATGGGGGTGACGGACGACGAGTGCTACACCGCCCTCTCCACCACCCACTGGGATATTGAGAGTGCCGTCAGGTACCTGAAGGTGGAGCAGTTGTTCCGCCTGGGGGTGGCGTCCAGGACGTCCTGTCATAAACTGCTGGAGAACTTCAACTGGAACCTGGAGCAAGCCAGTTCTGTCATCATTGACAGCATGAACCCTAACCCCAAGAAAGGTCGCATTGAAAGCACTGTATAATTCTTGTTGTGTTGATAAAACTTTGGTAATTAGATAAATTATGGACAATTCAAGATGTTGTATATCAGCTAAAGACTGACCCTCGCTTGCACAGTATAGTATAAACAGGAAATTATTGTTTCAGTAGCTCTACACACTGCTTGATAAGGGCACAAAAAGATCTCTTCACCTTAATAATACAGTTAGCTTTAAGCTCATGTGTGTTTAGTGTCTTGTTTTAAGAGAATCGTACTTACTTCCCTTGATACCAATATGGCAGTACTGGCCTGTAATACTTGACTACTGTGAAAATATGTTAATCCATGGAAACAGTGTATTGATTGAACCCTTGCTAGAAAAAATAACATATTTAACCCTATATGCCCCAAACATTTTTTACTAACCTAATAGATACCCGCTTTAAGACTGTAGGGGGAGCTAAAGGGTTAATTTTTCTGTGATATCTTAGAACATATGCAGAATGACTGGAACAATTTGATGCTTTAGTTTTATTCATTTCTGTTCGGTTTTTTTTTTTTTTTTAATTTTTTTAATTTTTTTTTTTTAATTTAAATTTAGTCCTGTTCTTTACAAAGAAAGATAGCTGCATGCAAGAAATGGGGCACTTTAAATGGTGACCACACTGAACTGTTCTTTAAGTAGTTATGCTGGTAGTTTTTGGCTATATTTATCTCATGTAGCATTCACAGTTGGTGTGCCATCTTAGTAGCATGGATAATTATAGCTACCTATGTAAGTTTATCCATAATGAAGTCTCTATATTAGGTGTAGCATTTAACCTCTTGTATATTTTATACTTGTTGATTGTAACAAGAAAAAAAAAAGACAGCAAACTTTGTTCTAGCTAAACCACATTTTGTCCTGAGATCCTGTGTAACAGTTTATATAGCTGTGTAACAGTTTATATAGCATTGTAACAGTTTGTATAGCTGTGTAACATTTTGTACTTGTAGTTCGACCCTCAATATTGTTATCAACACACAGAGAGCTGGTAGCGACGATTTATTTTTATTTTGTCCATAGTGAAATGTATACTTCCCCAAGTCAACAAATAATCAAAGATAAACTTAAAATTATAAACTGTATGCAATACTTTTCATTCATTAGTAGATTTAGTTACTTATATTTTATGTACAAATAATTTTTATAACTGTATATTTTATTTACATTTAGTTTTCTATTGATGGGCTAGCGTTTTATTGATTGTTTAGTTTTCTATTGATTGTTACTTGAGTACCTAATGGACCTTCGCTTATGCAACACTGTTTACATTTATTATTCTAAAAATTTTTGCTATAGATTAAAGGAAAGATTAAATGATTTAATTAAGCCTTCTATAAGCTGAGATATTCAGGAATAAATTATCTTTTTTTTTTTTAAAAAAAAAACAACTTTAAAAGTTATTTATTTACTACAGTGATAAATAATTTTAAAAATTATTTTTAAATTTTAAAACTATTATGATCGTTGTTGTTTTAAGTATAAATAGTTAGGTGTCCACATTGAAGTGTACTAGTAAAATTTCCCACTTTTTTTTATACTGCTACCATGTAACTAACTATAGAAGCTTGAAATCTGGCTACCTGTGCAATGGCTCTCATTGAACCCTAACACCAATACTCACGGTTAAAATGGGGTCCGCACCCCTTGATATTTTATCTTACCAGTCTACTGAGTTACCCGTTTATTATTGTCAACCATATTTATTCTCATATTTATACTTCATATTTATTCTCTGCCAGGTGGTAATGTTTTAGTTCTGTAGCTTAGGTGTGGGTAGGTTTTGTAGTGTAGTGTTTGCGTGTATTTCTAGTCAGAACATCCATGGAAGTCATTCAGCATACCATTACAATACTTTTTTTTTTTTTAAATGTGTGTATGAATACTCAATCTAGCTATATGAATCAGGGATGAGCCAAATTTTTGCCAATAGTTACTTAAAAAAACTGAAAGTTCTGAAGAATTTAAACTCCATTCTGCTGTTCTGTTTTAAGTAAATAATGTTTGTTAAGTTATGGAAACAATAAAATCCTTATCCGTCGTAGTGTTTTAAATGGGATGCCTATAGGATATACCACAAATTGTGTCAACCAGTTTTATAAAATATTGTTACCTTCTCTTCTATACTTTATTTTACATATATTGTAAGTTACAGCTTTCCAAGATTTTTACTTTCTAAATCTGGTTTACTTTCTTGTAAACAAAATTTTTTTTGTTAACTTGATTCTGTATTTTAATTACTATAGCTGAGACAAAGTGAACTTAAGTTTAGCAGTCTCCCCATTGTGTTTGAATCCCTCCTAGGTTGAGTGCATCAAATGTGATGGTGTATAAAATGTCATAGTGCCTGAGCCCCTGTGTAGCATCCATAATGTATTGCCCTACCTCTGCAGAGATCAGTTTTATAGCGTAAAATTCACTGTGATTTGTTGACTTGTTGATTTACGTGCATATTACACTCGTATAGGACATGTTCATGTTGTTGTACATTCAGTTTCATGGTGTAGAATTATGTCTGATTTGTTGGTCTTATGCATATTACATTTATGGTGGATATTACATTTGTGTAAGATGTACCTATCTAGTTTTTCCTTCAATGTAGGATTCTGTTTGATTTGTTGATTGTATGCATATTATATTCATATTGGCAGTACCAATAACATTTGTCATAAATAGAAGATGCTGTGTACAATTCCTTTCTTTTTGTACTTAGTGATAGTGATGTAATCGAAAAGCCTTTTTTAAAAAAATATATAGTTAAAGTAGATGTAAGTGCCCTTTTTCTAAAACACACTGTCTGCCATGTTAGTGGTACATTACATGGTTTAATCTCTGCCCCGTTAGTGATAGATTATCAAAAGTAGTGAATACCGTGTGCCCTGTAAGTGGGGCATCATCTGCCCTATTGAAAGTAATGCCCGCGATCATAGTTTTTCATTATTCCCCACCTAGAGGTATTTAATTATCTGCCCTATAACTCATACCTGCCTTGTGGGTACACTCTAGCCTATGAACTCTTGCTTCCCTGTCTAAAGATCAGGTGTGTGAATTAAGCCTTGACGTTCGTAAAATAATTTACCTGTGGCATTGCTAAAATTTACCTGTAGAGTTGGCTAAGTTAATCACATTTTGACATAGTTTGTTACAATGTTAGTGCTGATCATATCAAAAGTGTACAACAAATTTTAAACTTACATCCCTGTACAGTTATCATATCAAATATTTATCAAATAATGAACTCCATACTAGATTAAAAATAGAGAGATGTAGCGACTTTCTTTCAAATTTTACATTCTTTCCCTTACTTTAAAATACAAGAATCATGCATACGTATGTTAAAAACAACAAAGCAGGTCTCACATAATGATATTCTTCATTAGGTTTCACTCAATTTTAAGTTCCAATCATGCGCGGCTTATTTGTTTTATTTCATTTCTTTTTAGTGTTTCACTACTTGAAATACATGCTAATTCCATTTAATATTTCATTGGTTTAGGTTGTGTCAAAACATTATTTGTTTTTGTTTTTTATCAGACAACAGAACACTTACTACACAGCAGGACAATAGGACAAACAACATAACACATAGGACATAACAGGACACATACAACATGTAGGACACATAGGACATATAACACCTAGGCCACAACAGGATTATAGAACATACAATATAACACCTAGAACATAACAGGACACTTAAAACATACAAGAACATGTATGAACAACATGTAGGACATACAACATAACACCTAGGACATAACAGGACACTTAAAACATACAAGAACATGTAGGACATACAACATAACACCTAGGACATAACAGGACACTTAGAACATACAAGAACATGTAGGAACAACATGTAGGACATACAACATAACACCTTGGACGTAACAGGACATACAACATAACACCTAGCACATAACAGGACATACAACATAACACCTAGGACATAACAGGACGTACAATATATAACACCTAGGACACATGGAACAAACAACATAACACTTAGGACTCAATAGAATACATAGGACACAGTGCTTGCTCTTCAAAAATCAGGTTCTGTGTTAGCTGTTTGTTATCTCACACTGTGTTACTGACGTGTTTACCTTTTTCTTGTTTCAACTACTAGTCTTGAGCTACTAACTATGTACAAGAGCACAACACACCATGCCAGACAAAACCCCTACACACAAACTGTTTTGTATTGTTTTCTAGCTAATACTTTTATTTAAACTTTAACAACCTCACTCTGCCAACAATGGTAATTAAAAAATAACATAATTTAATACACATGTATTGTTTAAAGTTAAGCTATTACAAATATAAAAAGAAATGAAAATATTACTCTTTAATTTAATATTGTCTCATTTATCTCAATTTAACAATATTTTTAAAATTTAGTTTGTTGATTAAATTTTTTAAATAATTTTTGACTTAAGTTTGTGACTGTACTTAATGTAATAATTTAAAAATAATTAACCTTACTTTTTTATTTAAACATCAGATGCACAATTTAAAGAGCTGAACTTGTTCCTGGTCAAAATCTGTAACAATTGTTTATGTTTACACAGTTGTGAGAGAGACATGTAACTTTATTATTCAGTTGTTTTGATATATAGCTATGTTCCTAATATATACATTCTTTGAGTGTGTACCTAATGTATACATTCTTTGAATGTGTACTGATCTATTGTGTAGTTGTTACAGTGATAAACTGTTTTCACTTGTGATTATCATGTTTAGCCTAAACTTGTACCCACTTGTGTGATCCAACATTATTGCAATTGTTTGCATTTTATTTTTATATCAGTCAATATTTAATAGTCATTTTTTATATTTGTTAGACTTCCTAAATATGTCTGTTTGTTTTTTAGAGAGTTATCACAAGTTGTATTTGTGTCCATGAATAATAATGTTGAAATATTATGGTGATCACTCATAATTGTTTCCCTTTAATTGTGATTACACAGTTAGTGCCCTTTTATGTATTTTTTTTTTAATAGTGCAAGATTGGTGTGTAGTATTTAATTAGTCTTAGGAGTAATTAGGAAACAAGAACTGTTTCAACTGCTCAGCAAAACTGGTCTAAATCAGAAAATGGCTTGTATATATCTACATATGTATATAATGTATAGAAATATGAGAGCTAGGCGAGCTAGCTACAAATCATAATAAATAGCCATTGTGTGAATCCAGCTAGGTTGTTTGCTATAAATCTGTTGAACTTTAACCTAGGAC